TATACTAATGACAACAAATGATAATTCATATTAATCTCAAGTTAAGAGTATTAAATTAACCTTAGTATCTACCAAGAGTTTCACTCTATCACCTCAGTAAAATGAAATTATAAAGACATATTAAACATGTAGAACACAAAAAATAAGTAGAAAATCATCAAAAACATTAATTTGAAACTATTTTACAAAAATGATGAAGAACACAAAAGAAACACAAGAGAGAAAACAAACAAGTGATCTTGATCTCTAAACTAAGATAATTTTACAAGCTTCTTCTCAGGCCTATTTATAGAAAGTGGGAGGTATTAAATGTCAAGAATGAGGCCTTAGTCAGATTCAAATAATAACCATGCATTTTTTATATTTTTACCACCAATTTTGACATTTTAAGTGGTCATGTTAAACATACAATTTGAGAGTTAATATTTTCAATGATAACGTCTGAATCTAGAAACATTTTAAGTGGTCGTGTTGAACATACAATTTGAGAGTTAATATTTTCAATGATAACGTCTGAATCTAGAAAATTAGCTTTCAGAAAGGTTGTAGTGTTGTCGCTTATCTTTTCATACCCACCGAAATTACCTCATTTTGTCGTGTATTGAGATACATATGCTCAGATTACCAAGACAGATCAAGATTGGAAGACAATGTTGCATACAGTACGTGGCGGCTGATTATCACATTGATGTTCATTGAAAAAGTGGTCTTCAGGAAGATCATAAACTTGTCTCGTATCTTTTAGAAGCCACCAGAATCACCTATGTATGTAGATAGGTATTGAAGGAGATATGACCTAAATACTAATAAAGGTCGAACTGGGCTTTTGCTGAAATTTTTATTTTGTTGCAGCCCTTTTGAAAATGAAAGAGGCCGATTCACTTTTCAGTTACAAAAGAAAGATTTGTAGATCTTTTTTTACTGATCCAAATTCATATATCATTTTGTTAATTTGGCCCATGATAACCTAAGTTATTCCCAAATTACCGAATCTGTATCAAAAATGACATTTATTACGTATCAATGATAACTATATTATTTTTGACCTAAGAATGCGAAAGTGCTTTAATCATGAAATTTAAAAACACTCGGAGTGTAATATGATGATATAAAGTCTTATTAAATGTACATTTTTAAGTGTTCATCACACTCCAAACTTAAAATTTTGCTTCTCCTCAAACAAAAAAAGAAAACAAAAGACACTAGTAAATTGTGCCACAAATGGTGATTTACAAGAAAATTTCCTTAACACTCGGAGTGTAATATGCTGATATAAAGTCTTATTAAATGTACATTTTTAAGTGTTCATCACACTCCAAACCTAAAATTTTGTTTGTCCTCAAACAAAAACAAGACACTAGTAAATTGTGCCACAAATGGTGATTTACAAGAAAATTTCCTCATAGGTTGCCTCAAAAATATAGCTCACAGAAAGACATAGATATTGATCAATAATTGAATCTAATTTAAGAGTCTGTCCATTTGTCATTGAATATTCCGTGTATCTATGCTTACAGTCCTTTTCTCATTTTATTGCATGCAAGTCAGATCAGTTTATGTAAATATGGAATATATAATCACAAATGGAAACTTTTTATTTCTCTCTCCACTAATGTCGACTGACCCAATATTAAAGATCAATAGACTTTTATTCAGTTTGTAATGTATGGCTAAAGTGAAGGTATGGTATAGGATAATAATATGGCTCAAATAACACCTAACGCAACATTGATTAATGGATCATTTTAGAGCTATAATCTTTCTTGTAACACACCAAACTTATTTTCATCTTTCCTTTGCATCACTTTTATTTTATTTTTGTGAGTTACTATACCCCAAACTTATTTGAATGCTTAATGAATTACGGATATAGCACTTGTTTTTTTTTTTTTTTTTTTTAGTTACGCTTTTTTTTTTTTTTTTTGGTCGAAACTCCATATGTTAGCATAACATTTACTTACGCTTTTTTTTTTTTTTTTTGGTCGAAACTCCATATGTTAGCATAACTTAGAATATTTCTCTAAAAAGATATATATGCTTATGGTGTAAGGGTTGGAAATAATTTATCGGCTCGGCTAATATATGGTTAACAAAGAAAAGTAAAAATTAAGTTTAAAAGGGGTATACGAAGGATAAAATTTTAATAAGGTAAGTTTGAAAGGCTTAAACGACCGAAAAATGGCTTAAATTATTTCTATAATATTATGTGATTTCACATCAAGAGCAAATCAAATAAATTCTAAAACTTGTGAGATTAGTAAAATTCAATTCACATATTCTTTAAATAAACACACAATTCAATGATCAAGAACTAGTGCTCAAATATGGAATATAGCAATTAAAACAGACTAACTCAGAAACTAAATACAATTATATCAATATTCATAATTTTCTAAAACTATATAAATTAAGGCAGCCAAAATTATCATCATCGGACCAGAGGAAGTCACCAAAGAAAGCAAAAAATACCTTTTTATTGAGAATAATTTTTTTAATTTTCTTTTTTAAAAGAGAAAATAAACAGAAAAACAAACTTAAAGAAAACAGAAAAACAAACACAAACATTGGTTAAAAGATGCGTCTCAAGAGCACAAAAAGCAACTCCTTGCACGATCATCTAATACAGGACAATTAATGAATCTGTCTAATGGTTTTATTAACAACAATTCGCTTGGTTTTTTTATTTTTTATTTTTAAAGTAGGAAACAAAATATAAAAAAAAATTTAAAGAAAAATCACACAATCATTTCTGCTAAGACACATCTCACCTGATCGGGCGATATTGAAAGAAAACCTGAAACATACTTCAAAATTGTTGTAAATAAAACCAAAAGATGAGAAGTTGTCTACAGGCGGAGAGTCAAATCCACAGTTGAACCTCCTTTTCGCGACCAGCCGATTTGCTGAACTACTGGATCAGGAATGTGCTTCAAAAGCTTGCAGCTTATCGAGCAGTTCTTCAATGGTTGAGGCAGAAACTAGGATTTTTCTCGCTGCTAGTGACATAAACTTCATTTCCATAGCTTTATCTAAAAAGGTCAGCAAACTGTCATAAAAACCATTAACATTAAGCAAACCTATGGGTTTCATATGGATATTCAACAAGGCCTAAGATGGAATCTGGAAAAGCTCCTCTAAGGTACCAAGACCTCCTGGCAGTGCAATAAAAGCATCAGAGAAGTAGAGCATCACTTGAATTCTTTCGGGCATAGTCCAGACTCGCAATTCATTCCCTATAGTTTTTCCGCAGATTGCCTTTCTCCGCTAAAGCATTAGGGATGATACCGACTACTCGAGTTCCTCCGATAAGTGCAGCCGCCGATACTCCTCCCATCAACCCATAGCTGCCTCCTCCATAGTTTTTCGTTCAGCTAGTACTAGCCCCAGTTTGCTTGCTGAAATTCTTTATTTGTTCCTATGCAAGAGCCACAGAAATCTGCAAATTCAAACAAAGTCAAAAAGAAACAACAAGCGTGATTATATACAGTAGTTGTGATTGTGGCTCACATCTTCCTCTGGTTTTACGTCTAGAAACGAGTTAAATGCCGTCTATGAGTCGAGGATTTGATTCCCATCCTGTTTTCTTATAAACTGGCAAACAGGGTCTTTTAACGTTAGATTCCCAAGATGTTGCCGCTCATGTGGAAATTGCGGCCATAATTTGAGAATTGCTCCTTGCACATATCCACTAGGATGCGTCTCAAGAGAAAGTTGGATATCATCCAAATTCTCCTGGCTCAGCCCATCCTTAATGAATTGTATTTTATCATCTCGATTTATGGATGCAACCCCAATAGAACGACAATTACCGTTACAAGTCTGTCTGGCATACTTTTGACAATTTGATCCAATACGCCTCGCTCTTCGCCTCTTTGCATAACTGCTTCTACCTGTATAAGGTAATATCTCTTCTGGAATGGCCTTGTGCATAAGCATCCTTAATCTTCCACACTTGACTCGGTAAATTTCAGCAAAACATTTGGAGGAAGAGAAGGAAAGTATTTATGCAAATTTGAGAGAATGACATCCATTTTGAAAGAAAAGAAAATGAAAGAAAAAACTATTTACAATTTCAGTTTTGTGGATAGCTGATGGAACCGATTTAAAAAGAGTGACGGAGTACCGGGGTCAAGAGTTAAAAATATTTTTTTTTAAAATAAAAGAGAAGAAAAAAAATAAATATCTAAACCTAATTACTTTCGTAACAAGGAGTGGAAAGAAAAAGGACTTCTTACATGACTTGATTTTCTAGAAATGGTTTAAGTCTTTGTCCACTTACTTTGAATACATTACCATTCCTAGGATTCTCAATGTCAACGGCCCCAACAGTCAAAAATTTCAATCACAAGAAATGGATTCAAATGCATCATGTTTCTTTTTGAAGTGGATCCTAATTTTCGACAATTTTCACACGCTTTGCAGAAAGTATGTGCATCTTTGAAAAAGGTTGGCCGGTAAAATCCACACTGTAAGATTTTTGCAGCGGTTTTCTTTGCAAAAATGGCCACCGCATGCCTCGGAATGACAAAAAATAATGACACTACTTACCTCGTTGCCGGGTATGCGCCTTCGAAAGATTTGATCAGGACAGCGTTTGAACAAGTAAGGGTCATCCTAGTAAAAGGTTTTTACCTCAGTCAAAAAGTTCTTTTTATCTTGGGGGCTCCACTGAGACGGGATTTTAACTCGTCTTTAAGCACAGTTATGTCATTTTTGAGAGTTGCCTCTCCAAATTTATTCGACAATAGATGATCAGTATGCCACAAGTGGATATAGCCTGAACCACCCACACTGAAAGGTAAAAACAAGCGAAAATGTAAAAGCACACAAAAAATGTAAAAAACATTAAAATGGAAAAGTAAGGGAAAGAAACTTGAAAATTGGGTTGTTTCTCAATAAACGCTTGATTTATCGTCATCGGCTTGACTTTCAGAGAAGCGATCGTCAAAGAGCAGCTTGCTCCCATAGTAAGTGTCATACAACACCACATATGGGTCTTGTGTTGTGATGCCCTCAAGCTTGACAAGATGTGAAAATTTGCACATGTGATCAACTTGACTTGATTTCTTTTGATGGGCTTTAGAAGAGAATCTCGCTTTTGGCTCAAGTGTGAAAAGAACATAATATGATGACGGCTTTAGTGCTGGCCGAAAAGAGTCAGTTAGAGGTGTTTATGATAGCAACATTGGTGAGCCCAAATCAATAATCTCATGGGTTTCTTTATTTTCCAATGACTCTTATTCCTTTACCTCATGTGGAAATTCCTTTAATATGTCCTTGACTTCTTCACGTTCTAGTATTTCAAGAGGCTCAAATTCCTCAGGAGGTGATTTTTCATCATCTTCAAACCATATGTTTTCTTCATGTTAAGTATTTCTTGAAGTTGGCTGTCAATCCCTGGCTCTGAAAATGTTGAATTGTTCTTGGAATATTGGTTGTCCATCAACAATTCCAATAATCAAACTCTACCATGTCTTCCAACATGTAGTAGGCTTCATCAACGGATCTTTAATAGAAAGAAGTGATACCATCTCCTCTTTCCACCCAATCTCTAGTTGTGTCGCTTAAACCGTTGAGGAAGATTTGAAGTTGACCTTCCTTAGAGAACATCAAAAATGATTATGAGAGAAGATAGCCATAGGTTCTTATTCCAATAAACAACTTTAACATAATAAAAACTTCTAGGTAGTAGTAATCTGTACAAAATACTCAGTTGTCTTGTTATAATATTATTAAAAACAAAAACTAATTTGATTACTGTTTCTTGTCTCTCTCTGTCATAATGGAAGTATAATTGAAATTTCAACCAAATGAAGAAAAAAAAAAACAATTAAACAGTGGCAAAGTGGTTCAAAGTCTGACTTTATGAAGTAATTAAAATAATAAAATCATCACAGCCGGAATTAGAATCATGTAATCTTGAAAATGACTTCATGAAGTATTGAAAATAATGAAACCTCACATTAAAGAAAACCAACCCTCAACTAAATAATGACAATACTACGTTTACACTGATTTTAAATTTGTGGATTTTGCTTTAAATAATTATTCATATTTATGACTATCCTGTTTGTAACATAATGAACACATGATTGGAATATGTATACCAGTTTTCATTCCCACCAACAAGTCGTTTTTACATATTATTCTTAAAGAACAAAAAAAAAAAAAAAAAAAAAAAAAAAAAAAAAAAAAAAAAACCTGAATACGTTATAGTCTATTCATAACAATCAGGAAAACATGATTTATCACAACCGGAATTAGGATATCATGCAATCTTGAAAACTGAATTTTTGAAGTAATGAAAATAATGTAAACTCACATCACAGAAAATCATCATTCAAATAATTAATGAAATTAGGTTTAATCTGACTTTAAATTTAGGATTCCAATTTTATTATAATGGCATTGATTAAATTACAAGAATTTATTCTAAAACTCACATTATTCCATGAATGAGTTTCTTCAAGCGGAACGGGGTCTGCATTTGACGATTCCCCCTCGTTCAAAGAGCGGCTGCAAATTTTGGAGGAAGTCACTGCTGCTGAGTTCTTTCCGAAGTGGCCGAGGTCCGGGGCTGATGATTTTTTCGATATAGTGGCTGATGATTTCTTACCCATACTTCCTTTTTGCACTACGGGATTTCAATGGCTGCCAGAATCGATTCTAGGATTCAGATTTTTGCATGATATGTAGCGTTTGGAACTTATTTCTAGTTTATTTGAAAACGTTTTCACACTTCTCTTCAAACTGCGGTTGTGTAAAATATTTTTTAAAAGTGAGAATAAAAACAAAAAATAATTATTGTGTTTAAAATTATTCTTATTTTTATTTTTTACATTTTTTGAGAAAAAAATAAAAATAATTTTAAAACAATATTTAGTACAATTAAAGATAAAAAATAAAAATAAAAACGATTTTTTTGTTTAGTGTAAAATAAGAGAGAAATGAAAAAATGTTTCATTTTTTATTATCGTTTTCTCCTCTCTCGAGTAGAGTGAGACATTAATGAGTTTTTTATATGAAAATAATCTCTTGATAAAACTACAAAACGTATTTTTAAAAATAATTTTTATCTGAGATTGAAAATGTTTTCATTTCTATTTTCATATAAAATAAAATTATTTTAGAACGAGTTCTAAACGCGCCTAATGAAAATGGTTTTTTAAAGGAAGTTAGAAAACATTAAATTATTATTATTATTAAATTTGTAATTTTATTAATAAAAATGAAAAATAATAAATATTAATTAATTATTTAGTTAAAAATTAATTTCCAAAATTTAATTGTATAATATATTAATAATAGAATTATTACTAATAAGTTAATAAAAAAAAACTAATTAATCATATATATTAATTATGATCTATTAATAAGTAAATAGTTGATAAATAAAAAATAGTAATTACTCAATTAATAATCAATATTAAATTATATAATAAATTGTAATATACTAATCAATAGTAATTAATAATTGTTAATTGGCAATTCATCATTATTTAAAGAATTATTATCAAAAATTGATGATGCAATATATCAAATAATAGATTATTAAATAAATGTTAGTAACTATATAACTAATTATTTAATTATGAAACTAAAAGTTAATTATTTAAATAGTAAATAGAATATTAATATATTATTATATACTAATTATTTTTTCTTCATACACTTATTAATTACTTATAAATTAATAAATATGAATACATTACTAACATAATAATTACTTATAACTGATTGTTAATTACTATTTTTTAATTATTTAGTATAATAATTCATTATATATATAGTTTAATTACTAATGTACTCATTAATTGTAATATATCCATTATTATTGTATTACTAATATATTAATTTTTATTTGTTAAGTGATTATCAATTTTTTTATTACTTAATATATTAATTAAACATTGTTAATTACATGTACTTGAAATAAAATTTCATAAATATAACCAAACACGATTTGATTTTTTACTATACTCAAAATAATCTCTTAAAATACCAACAAAAAACAATTTCAGAATCGGTCTTAGAATGATTTTCAAAACAATCTCATCTTTACTTTTATACTGAAAACAAAATCATTTTGAAAACATTACCAAACAGCCCGTAGTCATTGTAGAGGTTTTGGGGCTGACTTTATTTTATGCATTTGATGAGCCACGAGCGTTTAATTTTGTGTTTTTTTCTTCTTTTTTTCAACAAAAAGAAACTTTTCCTTAATTTCATTTCGTCAAATGCAGATACTATGTTCTATATTACAAATGTTAATGTTTAATACGTAGATTTTGTCACTGTTTCTTACTTATTTTGTTGTTTAGTTATTTTTTTAACTTTTTTCATTATGTGAGGATATAAATATATTTATATGTATATATATATGATAGCAGATAGTTCTGTAAATAAATAAAAAGTTAGGTGTTTATATTAGGCATTTATGTAAATAACCCTATTATTTTAACTTATAAAATGTTTATATGTTTATATCGAGTTAAAACCCTCAAGAACAAATAGAGGACTATACAAAATTAGACATTTCTTAAAATGGGATCTTTAAGCGTCTAGAGAAAATTGTTAAAATTACTATAAGAGTGTATGTATCTAAATTTTTTTACTCACTCTTCATTAAGACCTTTTCGACTGATATAGTCATTTTACTATAAAGGATATTAATAATAGTAAGGGATAAACATTCATGTTCATACATTGTTAAGAGTATTTTTCTCTTTTTTCCTTTTAAGTTCATCCATTTTTTTATTTACTCTTCTTCATCCCTCATTAACCAATAACTTGCATAAAAACTTGGGAATGCATTCATACAAAGTTGTGTCGGTGTTGAACAATGTTTGCAGCATAAGTTTCTGACCATAACAAGAACCACATAATGGACTACGGAATTTGAGTCTATGGAAGCCTGCCGTCTTTATGTTTTGTATACTCAAGTGAGTGATTGCTTTATTCATGGAATTACAAATCTCATAAAGAGTTATTACATGTATAGTTTATTAGGGCGTGTTTAGTTCGCTGATTCGAGTTTTAAATTCGAGTTGAGATGTGACTTTATATGAGAATTTTTTATTGTAGCAAAAAAGTTAAATATAATTGTTTCTGAAAATTTTTTACTGTAGCAAAACTCAAATTTTAAACTCAAATCGGTGGAATGAATAGAATTTTAGTAAATCACACTCTGACTCCACATTGAGGTATAAAGTTTAATCCTCTCATATAAAAAAAATAAAGAAAAAAAGAAAAAGAGAGAAGAAGAATCTCATAAAGATGCAATGTCGTTTACAATGTCATCGGCCTTTATGAATTACAACTTTACATATCATTTATCCTCTTCCAATAATAAATAAATAAATACTGTTGTAAAAGTCCAACTTTGTGGTTGTCCAACCAAATTCATTGTGCACGGTAACTCATGTATTTACTTTCAAAATTTACGGCGAACGCGTTAGATGAACAGTGTTACATAGTAACTTCAGTTCATTATAAATAAAGACGTCGAACTCGAAATGTATGTACAATACAGAAAAATAATTCACATATAGAAATAAAGAAAAGACTTGTTCTTTCTGTGTGTTTTATTTTATATTTTTAACTCTGATATCTTACTATTTGCTCTTATATTTCAAAGCTACAACCATGCCAATTAAAGATTAATATTGTTTTTGCTACATTTTTCAGATGTCATTATTAATTATTCAAAATCCGAATTTTCTAGGGCGCCCAAAATTTGCAAAGATTATAACAACTTAATCCCATATTCATGTTTCCGTCTTAGCTTGGGACAACCTTGAGGCATATTTTTCCGATGAAATTATATAACTATCACTATTTTTTACTATATTTATATTTATGCTACTCAAAATATAAGTATTTAAATTAATCTCACTAGTGTCCTTGAATTTTAAGGTCATTCCCGATTTAATTCCTAAACTTTAAGATTATTCTTGAGTGAAGGTATGTTTTTACTATGCCATTTTGATGGCATAAATATTAGTTGGTACTTTTGGTTTTTTTCCCTATTAAGGATTTTGGCCAAAAAAAGAAAATATTTCTTTTCTTCTGTCCCAATTTTCTTCCCACTATTTTTTGTTATGCTAAACCTATCTTTTCTCAAAAGTATACCGTCAATTCAAGCCATTGTGGCCATATATATGTTTGGCCCACAATAACCTAATGAAGTACCATCTTTGACCTCTAGAAGTGGACTAGTAAGAGCCTCAGCCTCTTTGCCAGTTTCACATTCAAAATTTGGCAGCAATGCAATTACTGGCTTGTTAGATATTGCTTAGATTATATTTTACTTTGCTATTCAAACTTGGAAAATCAAATAAAGCCAAGTAACTATTGCAAGCAACATCACACAATAGAAAAAGTTGTACACTGAAAGAATATTTGCTACAAGAACCGAATATTCAAAAGAAAAGTGAAAGAAAGAGCTAGAATTCCATCTAAAGAAAAGTAAAGAGCTAATGAGAAAATGATAGATTGTGTAAAGTGACAAATCAAGCCCCCCCAAAAAAAAGGGCAAAAGTAAAGAAGACAAATCTATATAGCCTTTTTACCAAAAGAGGAATAAGTATGTGTTGTCCAAAGAAAACAAAGACCAAAAAGAAAAGAAAAACATTAAAACTGTACCACACGGATCAATTACGTTTGATTCACAGATTCAGAATCATGATTCATAACCATTCTCAGTTTACGTGTATTTTTGTGAGAAAAAATACTGTAGTGAGTCACGAACTATGATTCGAACCATAACACGAATCTTCGTACCAAACACTTGTTCCACATGGAATGAATTAAAGTGAAAAATGACATGGTGATGATGATCATGATGTATCAGAGACCAGAAGAGCATCCCAAATAGTGTCCATATCCAAAGATGGCATTCTACTCAGCTGAACAGCTTCCACATCAGAAACTAAATCCTGAGTTTTCTTGTTCTCAATATTCACTGCTTGACATCCCATTTTTCCCTCCAATCCAATAAACTGCCACTCTTTTCTTGTGGGGTTGTGGTTTTGTTCCAAACCATTAACTTTTGAGTCCCCGGATAACAGCTTCTTTGGCGAGGACTGATGATGATCAACCGCAGGCTTGTTCTTTTGATTTGGACCCGAAGCACCCTTTGATAAAGCTTGTAACTTTGCTTCAAGAAGGGCAGCCGTGTTTCCATTGAGAGAATTGGCCTTGAGTTGGTGCTTCATATCCGGGAAGTTCAAATGCGCGTATTCCCCGCGCAGCATGTAAGCCGCCGTGTCATAAGCCATTGCAGCGTCCTCTGCCGTGTCGAAAGTCCCGAGCCAAACCCTCGTCCTGTTTCTTGGCAGCCTTATCTCCGCAACCCACTTTCCCCAATGCCTTTGCCTGACGCCTCTAAACAGCTTTCCCGGTGATGAAACCGATGACGAAAGGCTCGGATTTTGTTGATGGTTGATGCGAATGACTCTTCTTGATCCTGTGTTCTTCATTGGCTGAGTCTTTGTGGCGCTTAGCCAGTAATCGTTGAAGAAGCCTTTGGATTGGTAGTTTGACAAGTGTTGATCCATTTTCAACCACTCAATTCCTTGCTGGTAACCAAGTAGTTGACCTTGTTGAGGCATTGGAAATGAAGGGTCTTGATTCCTTGAACCTGAATCCTGCAAAAACAATGTTAAATTTGGGGACTTCGGAGGAGAATCTGGTTCAGAAACTTGGGCCCTAGTCATCTTTGGATCAAGAATTTTCAATAAATCTAGAGGAACAAAAGGAGGAGAAAAATCATGGTTTGAATTGAATTCAGGGATGTTGTTGGAAGAACTAGACTCTGAAGATGAAAGAATTCTGTCTGGTGAAGATGAGAGTGATCTTGGTGAATTTCCATTGCCATTTTCATGGCAATAAGATGTTTGAGTCAAAGCACTCAATATATTTGGATCGTCAAAAAAATTTGACCCTTGAAAATAAGATGGCAACAATCCTTTTGCCATGAAAGTTTCCATCTTGGGAAACTGATCTTCCATGCTCTAGGACTTGAGATTTTGGGAGTTTGTGAAAGTTGAAAAAAGAAACAAAGGAAAGAGAGACGTATAAAGAAATGGTTCAAAATGAAAACCACTATGCTATATCTACATATATATATATATATATGTATGTATGTATGTATTGTCCAAACCTTACAAGTGTCAACCTTTAATTTAAACTTAAGAGGGGACGTGCTTTATTTGATAAAGCATAATTAAATTAATTGTCTGAGTCAGATCGTTGAAAAGAAAATAAGTTCATCACCACCTTCCATTTTCTCCTCTCCTAAATGATTCGTGCATGCCATTTTTTGATGCTTTTGTCTCCAACCAATCAGAACATGACAGCTCATGCTCTTTCGGCTAACACATATTCTCATCTGGGGTTCATTGGATGGGGGTGGATATTTATATATTCCCTTCTTTAAAGTGACTAAGGGAACCTGAAAAACCTTCATTTTTCATGGCGCCATTTTGTGTGGGGGCTTTTTTATATCATTGATCATGTGGTTTTCTCACTTACCCACATGCCTTATTCTTTCTTTTTTTTTTTTTTTTAAACTTTCGTAATTGAACTTTAATATCAAAAGATTAGGCCTATTGTTAATGCAAAGAATATTAATCACACTTTCATGGGGTTCGTGCTTTTTGATTAGTCCAAATTAAGCATAGAATATATGGTTGAAATGCATTACTAATATGATTTGTAGAGCAATTAGCTAAATTATGACATAATCATTGGTTGAACAGGCCCCTAATCCAAGTATGAATGGAATTATTATGTTATTTAAGTATGAGGAAATCATGGGTGTCTTTTTTCTAGATCTAACATTTAACAAATGGTCAAAGGCTCTTACAAACCCCAGGTATACTTTATTTGGCTTTCTTGAGGCACATTCCCATGTGTCTCTTGGGAGTCTTCTGGAGGCACTCAAGCACCTTACAAGTTTCAAGCTATAAAAGGTAAAAGGGAGAGAGCATGTGGGGTCCATAGAAATTAGAATTTTGAATGTGGGCCCATCTCCCAACTCTTAACTGAAGCCTAAAATTAAATTATTAGAGTGTTAGGTTGCAGCATTCTTAAGCTAACAAAGCTGAGTCAATGCCACTTGGAGCAACCCATTCTAATGAAGGAAATTACCATACTATAGAGAGAATCTAATGCTTTATTCAGTTCACTAATTCGAGTTTTTAATTCGAGTTGAGATGTAACTTTATGTAAGAGTTTTTAACTGTAGCAAAAAAAAATTAAATGTGACTTTATGTGAGAGCTTTTAACTGTAACAAAATTAAAATTAAAAATTTAAATCGATAAAATGAACAAGACATAAAAGACCTCTTTACTTCACACTTTTTGCAGTTCCCATTATTATCTTTAATGGTTCAGTTGTGTTTGGCATTCTTAAATCGATAAAATGAACAAGACATAAAAGACCTCTTTACTTCACACTTTTTTTGCAGTTCCCATTATTATCTTTAATGGTTCAGTTGTGTTTGGCATTGGTGTATTTTTTTTAATAGACCAGCACATGGGCCTGGCTAATTAAGCTATTATGCCTATATTATACCTATTCATGCAAGCATAGGCATGAGACCACATGTTTCTTTTTCTCTATGTAGTCCTTTTTGCTTTTTTTCTTTTCTTTTCTTTTCTTTTCTTTTCCCTAATCATATATCTTTATTCCTTTCCTATGTATTTGGGCCTGAAAACAAGTGAACATCACAGAATTAAAAAAAATAAATTCCCTTTGCACACATCAGCATAGCTTTTAGTTTAAAGAAGGAAAAATTAGACATGTGAAAGGCGGCTTGGTCAAGTAGTGGATGACAAATCATGCATGGAGGGTTCACAAAAATGTTCTCTTTCTGACATTCCTTGTTTGGTTTTGTTACAAACTCTTGAGTTGCCTAGTCAGGAAGATAAGAACTTTGCAGGCTCTACGAGAATAAAAGATAAAAAGATTTTGCAGGATTTCCATCTACCAATCCATTGATTTGAGTAGTTCTATTCATTTTAAGACTCGGTTTTGAACCGTTCGATAAAATTAGACTCATATTAACTTTAAAAATTTATATGTTTATAACAATTTTATACAATCTGATGAGATGATCGGACGATTTATGATAGAGTATTTTTTTACCCTATCAAATAATTTTTGTTCCGCGTATATAACACTTTCAATTCTTTTGTGCTACACTTTAGAATGGTATCTTGAGAAGTGAGTGATGATAGAAATATGGTTCTTGACTTGCCAACTCAAACTAACCAGTTTTTGATTCCAAGGTTGAGACGATGAAGACACGGATATAATAAACTACACCAAAAGAGAATACCCAACTGTTGTTCATTGCACATAAACAACATAATCTTCCTTCTCTCTCTTCTAGTTTTTATATATAATTTGTTGAAATATTCTAGTTTTTAATAATTTGTTTTGTTTTGAACAGTTTCTGAGATGTTGGCTTCTTAACCTTCAAAACTACCCTCCAAGTATTTGGATTAATATAATATCATGTAAGCAATGTCTAGTTATTTATTAGCTTAAGCTGACCATGAAAAAACCACAAACCAACAATTTCATTTCTGGTGCAACTACTCCTAGAATTTGACTAAACAACTTCCCCTTTACTCTTCCCACTACTTTCCTTTTAAGGTTTTTTATCAACTTTTTCACTAAGAGGTTCCTCATTTCATGCCAACTGCTTTTATCTTTACCTTCTAATCCAGTTTTAATAAAGACCACATACAAACAACAAGTTAATATATTCTATTCTAATTATTACATAACTAGCATACATAAAGCTAAAAAAAAAAAAAAAAAAAAAAAAAAAAAAAAAAAAAAAAAAGGTGTGAAATAGGATAAAATAACTACAGCAAAGTGGAATTCTTAATGTACAAATTATTCCCTCTTTTATTTTCCATCACTTACTGAACTTTCCATCTTTTAGCTCTCAATAGAACCTAGTTTTCTAACAATGGAATCTATCTTTAACAAATTCCGGTATCCTTGTATTATACACAATGCGTACCATGAATAACAATCATCCATCATCATGTATTAAATATTAAGTCATGTTCATTTTTATCTACCCGTTTAATAATAAAATACTAAACCCAATTAAAACTTAAACATAACCCATTTGGAAACCATATCTAACTAATACGATTATACAATGAATTATCTGATCGGTATGAAAAATTTATTACCTGTAAGGTACAATTCCAAACCCTCAGATTTCTATAAGAATTTATTAAATTGTCTTACTTTTCTTAATCCAATATAATTCTAATGTAATTTGATGGTTCAGAACTCTAACTCTACCAATAGGGCATATTCTTTTCTCCAAATTAACACTCAAGAAACTTACTAATTATAAACTAGAGACACATATGCATACATAAATATATATGTAGACATGCATAAAGTAAACATCATGAACTTAAGCCTCGTTCATTTCGCTGATTTGAGTTTAGAATTCGAGTTGAGATGTGATTTTATGTGAGAACTTTTTACTGTAGCAAAAAAGTTAGATGTGATTATTTGTGAGAGCTTTTTACTGTAGAAAAACTCAAATTTTAAACTCGATCAGTGAAGTGAACGGGGCCTTATTGCTCTCCACAAAATGCATAAAATACGTACGGAACCAGCAAACTTTTTAGGAAGATGGACTAAAGAACCTTATCCCCAAGCTGTTTGAAAACCAAGTTATACTTGCTTATCTCATATGAGCAACATCATGACTTCCACTACCACCACGAGTAAACTTATATTTTAAAAAACCAAAACAACAACAAAAGGTTGCCCTTTTTGGTTATAATTTTTAAGCAAAGCATGATTATCAATGTCGTTATTGTTATCTTCAGCACTCAATTAAGTTAAATAATCTTGGATGCAGAGTAGACAAAACTTAATTAATTATTAATTGATCTCTATTGAGTAAAGAAAATTATTGTGGGCCAAGCCAGCCGGAATTTGAGAAGCTGCGGCATTTAGTTAGGTGAAGAAAGGGAACATGCCAAAAGTGCAAAGCGGCTAAGCAGTAGGCTCTTGCCAAGTGTTGCAATTTTTGCCGTTGTGAAATAGTGACCACTCATTCTTTCCTTTCCTATTAATCATCGTTGGGTCATGAACTTGGATCTGAAGGACAAATTATATATATATATATATATATATATATATACACATATATATACATATATATGACCTCATACGGATGGTTTGCGTTTATCTTATTCTGTCAAAATCACTTCAAAATTAAGACATATACAATTTAAAATTTAAACCATTTTTAATATAAATTTGATGAATTTAAACCATTTTTAATATAAATCTGACAGTTAATAAATAAATATTTAAATCCTACCAAATAAAATTAAAAAATAAATAAATAAAAAGATAAACCCACCGTTGTCTCCTTATCTCTCTCACAAAGACATGTTCAAGTACTCTAATTAGCTGTTTGATTTCTTTTTTCTGTCAATTTAAGGTGTTTTAGTGGTCAAATTCATTCTCCATTGACATGTGCATATGTACTGGATAAGTTAGTTTGGTTTCCACAGATGCCAAGAAAAGTCTTCAATTAACATATCATATAATCCAATTCACACCCACAACAACTCCACCACACAAACAAATATAGTCATGTTTAACCACTTAAACCCATTTTTCCTCATTGACTTTGTTTTTTTCCTTAAAACTACTGGTGGAGGCAATCAATAAACCATTGTTCAATCTCTAGAAACATGATTTTGAGGGAAATAAACTCCCACGACAAGATATTCTTTTTTTTTTTTTTTGGTTTTTTAGGTTTAATACATGCATGCATGTGGTGGGAGATCAGAATATATATGTATGTATATGTAAGCCCCGTTCTTTTCGCTGATTCGAGTTTAAAATTTGAGTTTTGCTACAGTAAAAGCTCTCAGAAACAGTCATATATATATATATATATATATATACACATAGTTGGCCATGAACTTGGATATTCCTTCTTTTTTTTTGGGTTTTTCAGGTCTAATACATGCATGCATGTGGTGGGAATGGCCGAATGGGGGAG